TCTGTCTCCTCTCACTATATATACGCGCTATATTTATCCAGGGCAGGTATTTGGTGTTGGTGTACCTTGGGTCCGGTCTCTAAATGTAGCCACACAACCCTTGGGTTCAGACAGCCACAGGAGCAATCATCCAGTACAATTAGTCTCGCACTGACCCTGTCTTAATGAGCTTGTTAAACCCTCAGCTCGTTAGTCTGGCAACGGGGAGGTGGAGATGAGAATTGAGGTTTTTCTTTTTTTTTTTTTTCCCTCTTAATGACGTTTAATGAAAGTGTATTTTTTTTAAAGTAGATGGCCCATTTCCTAGATGGCCTGGAGTCAAGGATCATAGAAGAAAATATGCATCTTGGGTTGTGTGGGTGTGTGTGCAGGTCATTTCAACACACAGTGTTCAGACATTAGCAAACCCATCTCCTACATGCATTTTAAACAAAACGCTATTTTTAAGTCTGTGTAATTGATTTTAAAGCCTTCCATCAAAAACCTCAATCTGCACTAATCAAAACTAAACCTGATGAAGGCGGTTACGTGTAAGTTCAACAGTGGCAGAAACAATTAAAACACCCGTAGTACTACCTCGTTTTTCCATTCATTTGGCCAAATTAAAGCTGCATAAATGTCTGGCCACTTCTAAGTAGTTGCGCCAGCAAACAATTATCTTTAAAAAGAATCCAGTGGACTATTAACATTCGCTTGGAATTGCATTTCGGATCATGAGACAAATGTTGAGTTGAGTTTTAAATCTCATTTTGACTCTATTCATCGGCAGCTTACGTTGCCCTGTCATTCATTAACTTATTTATTTTGTTGACAGCAGCTGCTTGCTGGTGCTGGTTCGATGGGAGTGATGAGCAAACTTATACCCACGTTTCACGTTCAGGTTATAATGAATTAACTGTTCAAGTTACTGTTCATATAAAGACGGGATAGTGTAGTAGTTGAATGTATGCACACCCAAGAACAATAATAAAGACACACAAAGGCTCACTTAAACTGTTCACATACCAATTTATACCTTTTATATTCATTTGCAAACCACACACATAAACACAATCCATACACCCTCCACCACAACGAGTCCTGCATCGCACAATTTTATTTCATAATACAGATAAAATGGACAAAATATTTCCTCCTGGTCGGGCTATGCACTGCATGCACCTGCATGTCAATTTTTCTAGGTCTTTATCTAAAATAGGATCTAATTTCTGCTTTAATGGCTCTAAGGGCTGAGCCCCAGTCGATCAAGACCTGCTTGAGTTTCAATTTTCTAATTTTATGGATTTTCTTTTTCCGTGTTGCCTCCCTAACATACTCTCTGCCTCGTCTTTGTCCTTTATCTATTCCCGCTTCTTCGTCTGTCCCAATTTTTCACATCAGACGAATCCATCCCTCCGGCTCGTGCATCGTTAAAGTCGTGCTAACCGAGAGCAGCCTGTCCCATTGACCTTGTTTGAAGCTCATAGTACCACAGCCAACAACAATTACTCATCGCGCTGTTTGGGGCTAAGCCTGAGCTAAAACTAAGTGGAGTGGAATGAAGTGTTGTAGCGTAAACGCTAACGCTTGTACCAGCTCTGCTGTGACAAATGCCTGCGTTCTCCTCACATCCATCAGGCTCAGACCGGCCATTGATCACTGTTTGGACGGAGTTTAACAGCCACTTTCCTGTGCTGAAAAACCCAACAGCAGGACATGCACAAGCACGTAAACACGCAGAGAAAGGCTCATTTTTCAAGAGAAAAAAAAAGAGAGAGAGCTAAAATAAATGTTGAGTAGGCTGGCAGCTTCATGAGTAGAGAACACCAATGTTTTACTTCTGTGTGGGAGAGAGGGGAGGAAGCGAGAGAGAGGAGAGAGTAAAATGGAGTTGTTTCTCTTAGCTTGGCAATAAAAGACCGCTGGAGTGTGCAGAGAGAAATGCAGTGTGTGTGTGTTTGTGACTAATAGCCGCCGCACCTTTTTTTTTCTGTGCAGAGCAAGGTTAGGGAAAGTTAAACGCTTCTGCGAGGAGATAAAGAACAAATAGTTCAAGAACTGTAAAAACACTTCACCTGCAGACATGTAGCCACTTACACAAGGTGCATCGCTCTCACACACACACACACACACACACACACACACATAGTCACAACGCCAAGACATCTCCAGCTCATCGGGTTATGTCTGTCTATAACTGAAGATGATGCCTTTAAATGTCAAGTGATCTCCAATCAGCGGTCCACAACCCGAAGACATTCACTTTAGAAAATAACAGCAGCAAATTCTCACATCTGAGACAACTTCTGCTTAAAAAATTACATGAACGATCAAGTAATTAATAAATTAGCTGTCAATCAATGTTCTACCAATCACCTAAACCACTAATCAGTGCAGTTCTAGTATCAATACTTTTTCCTAATAGAAAGAAGGAATGCATGCAAGAAACATCCTCAAAATACTTGATTTTCATTGAAAAGAGGTCGAATTATGATGTCTTGTTCCAAAGTAGGGTCTGTGCGTAAAAATATAGAATCAGAAGTGCTGCAGGCAGATCTGATAATACGGACGATATCATTGGTTTGCGATACAGATCCTTCTCGAAACGTCACGGTGTTGTGTCTCTGCAAGCATGTTTAGGATGTCTAATAGGACTGGAGCTGGAGATGCAAAACTAGAAAAAGGTTTTTAACCGATAGTTGGCCAGATTATCTATCATCAATCGATTAATCGCAACTTTTCCAAATATAGCCAATTTTAATCTTTAATCTGCAAATTCAACTCACTTACATTCAACATGTTTGGGCGCAGATGAAGCAAACCCCAGGTACATTACACTACATGTTGTATAGCTGTTAGTCATTTTCTCAAATGAAGAGCGATTAAGTGATTTGCACAATCTCAGGCTGAGTTAGTGCACCATGTAGCTACCCAGGATAACTCACTGCCTCGAGGATAGCTAAACCTCACAAAGCTCCTGGCCTCATCGAAAACCACCTCAACCATCCACAGCAATCAAAATCCAACAACAACACAACTGAAATATTAATCACAAAAGCACAACGTTGAACACAGAACTGACTGCTGTCCGACGGAGCGCCTCGTCAGGTCGCTGCAGGATTAAACACAGCAAACAGTCAGTAAACAGTAAGAGGCGCCGCCAAGTGGTGCAACCAGGTACTACAGTTAATGCACAGCTAGGCATGCACATCCTTCGTCTTCTGCAATTAACAATAAATCAGAACAACCCTTAATTGGTGCGATTACTTAATTGATTACATCACAGCCGAAAATGTCCAAACATCACAATTTCAAACCAACATATTGTTTTTTCTACAGCTGTACAAAGCAGTGACTGCAGCACTCATTTCAGTATGAAAGTTTCCAAAGATCCAAGGCTTCGAAAGAATCGGAGTCTCTCAGATTCTCACAAACAAAAAGGTGATCCGTGCAAAGTGTTAATGGTACACCAAAGCGCCGGCACCTGAATAGAAAACACACACAGGTGCCATTCTGAAAGACGCAAAGTCACAGGAGACAAAACCTCCTTAAGTGCTGTCTGTTCATTAGCAAGAAGAGCTTTTCACCATCTTTTGTCCTTGTAGCTGCTAAATACACTCGTAATGTTAAAAACTCAAAACGAACGGAAATGAAATGCTGCATTTGACTTTTGTAGAAGAAAATTTGCCGTTTAGATCAACTGATTACTTTACAAAGTAGTTGACAGATGAATTAACACAGAAATAGTCTTTACAGGCGTTCTAAAACTCAACTTAAAGAAGTGAGTTGCTACCCGATGAGAAGAGGAACAGCAACACAGAGAGATGATATTTTTACACACTACAATGCAAACACACAGAAGATGACAGTAGACGGGCTGTCATCCATCGGTCTGAGTGTAACAATAACACTCCCACACAGACATTATTACACACGGTTCCTACCAGGCGCAATTGATTTATTTTAAAAATAGACATTTCGGGTCATTGTTGAGAATTTGCACGTTTGTGCTCATCTGCTCTGAGTTTCAGAGCCTGAATTTGGGGACTTTTGGGGACATTTTGGCCTGTTTAGACATTGTTTGGGTTTAACAGGAGGGAAATCTGGGATTAAGGTTAGGCTTCAAACTTGAGTTTTCTCACTAAGGGAGCTCGTAAGTAAAAACGTGTGTGTTTGTGTGTTCAGTCTAGGATTGTGCTGACAGTACAAAGAATAAAAAGCCTTTTTTTTGCCTCCATAGAGAGTTTAATTGGCAGGTCTTTACCACTTTCTCCTCTGACCCTCCTGCACACCTCCACCTGACCCACAGCGGCTACACCACCTCACAAACACACAGCTTCTGGGTAAAACCACCGCAGAATATAAACAGTGTGTCTCTTTCCATTTTTTCTTTTACAGCATCAGCGAGGTGGGCATGAATAGAATAAAAATGAGAGGATGTGAAAGGAAAGAGGGGAGGAGAGAGGGATGAGAGATGGTTGCAACCTTGGAGAGAGAGACAGAGGAAGAGGGGAAAGGAAAAGGACAAAACTTTAAGGGTAGGGGTGGAGGAGGGAGGCGAAGAGAGCGCGAGGAGGGAGGTTAATATGGAAAGAGAAACGAATACAGACGTTTAAAAGGGAAGTGAAGCGAAACTGGAACTATTGATGAGGTCAAAAAAGTCACAGGGGAGGGGGAGGGGAAAAAACGTAGCGCAAGACGTGACGAACGAAGCTGTTGATTTGTCGCCTCGATCAATATGCTATGCCGTCACTTTTTTGAAGTGTGTGTGTGTTTATGCAACTATTTTATGAGTCTTGCAAAGTATTGCAGTGCTGTGGGCAGGACTTTAAATGTGTGTGTGTGTGTGTGTGTGTGTGTGTGTGTGTGCGTGTCATGAGATGCAGCTAACAGGATCATATGGTATTTCTCGGGGTGATGTAGTGCATTCTGCGTGGTTGTTTGAGAGAGGTTGTTACTCCGTGGGTGGCCATGGCGATTGTATCCAAAGCAACAACAACAAAAAAAAAAATTGCAACTACCTCAGCCCGGGGGGAGGAGAAGAGGTCCGACTTCGGTGGTTTGACTGTTTTCCTAGAAGACGAAGAGGAACAGAGACAAGACGAGTCATATCAGTGAACACTGTCTGTAGGTGTAATTAATGAAAACATGCACGATCCCTCGAGGTGATGTCAGATTTGCACTATTTAAGGCTTTTTTGGGAATCTAAAATGAAGTCCGCTGATCAGTTTGTGTAGTCTGTGTATTTTTAGCCACGGTAGCGTTGCAGCTGCAGAGATGGTAGAAGCTGGTCTCTTGTTGAACCATCGCTTTGCACCAGACGGAGATATCTCATCAGAGCCTCTGATTTTATATCTAGAGCAAACATGCAACTTGGCTCAGACATGCATGATTATCTTAATATTCATATTTAGATCATTTTTCACCCATCATCAAGTCAAAATTGAATATTACCCAACACTTCTTTAATGTACAGTCATGACTTGATAATTCGACCCTTAACAATCCTAAACCTGCTATCCGACAGGTTTTTAGGAAAAACAAACAGAACCCATAATAAACAGCCTTAACATACCGACAGCCTTGGATTTTGACTCCGACATGACATTTAATGTCACAAATCAGGATAACGGCGTATTATCTGACTGAACAATCCCACAGATTGGCTACGTTCACACTGCAGGACTTGATGCTCAATTCGGAGTCTGTTCACATTTCTAATTAAATGCGACTTGTATGTGATCTGCTGTGTGAACTTCATACGACCCAAAAGTGTCCCACATGTGCAGAAGATGACACGACGACGTCACACGCAGTGAGCGGGCTCAGTGTTTGCAGAAGTAAACATGGACGGTAACGGTGGAGTGTATCTGCCACTCCCCCGCCGCCGCCGATGGAAGAAACAGAAGTGTGAGCGCTAACTAAACTAGCATCAAGTACTGTCTGTGTTCCGACCACTTCCACCCCATCGGAGCGCTGTCCGGGGTGGAAGTGGCTGTAACGTGCACAAGCACGCCGGTCAATTAGGTATGAAATCCAGCGATGCGTCGTGTTCTAACAATACACTAGTTATTATAACAACTATAAACAATAAATATTAACAACTAATGAGCCTTCCAGCATCAAGCCCTCCTTGTATCTCGACCTCCGTCTTGACAATCCGACAGCGTTGGTATCCGACATAAAAGAAGGTGTTACATTTAGTGACAGATTATCGAGTCACAACAGTAAACTAGCAAAGTGAACATGGTACACCTGACTCCTGTTACACATCAGTGTTTTAAACAGCATCTCCAGTGAAAATCAAGTTTTTACCCTATTCACGTGTCCATATGGTGTTTTTGTTAAATGCTATAAGACGCATCATGTGTGAGTAATCAGTCAACACCGTGGCGAAGTACTTCCACCTTGAATTGCAGTGCACTGATGACAGTCTCAGAAACACAGATTCAGACTTCTAAAGTTTCACTCGCAACAAAAACATAAAAATCAATCCTGTCAACTTGCACGTTGAAGC